GTAGCGGTAACGAGGGCAACGGTAACGAGGGCAACGGAACTAGGGCAACGGAACTAGGGTAGCGGTAACGAGGGCAACGGTAACGAGGGCAACGGTAACAAGGGCAACTGAACTAGGGCAACAGTAACAAGGGCAACGGAACTAGGGCGACAGTAACGAGGGCGATGGAACTAGGGCGACGGTAACGAGGGCGACGGTAACGAGGGCGACGGAACGAGGGCAACGGTAACGAGGGCAGCGGTAACTAGGGTAACAGTAACTAGGGCAACGGTAACTAGGGCAACTGCAGCGAGGGCAACTGTAACAACTCTTCAGGGCCCGGCGGGGGTGGGGGGGTTTCCCGGGCTGTTTCCTTTTTCTCTCTTTGACAGAATCAAGGCAAAAGGCCACACACAGATCATCTCACCACAGCAGTGCTCACTGTGATGGCATTTTCTGAGCCAATCTGTTATTTAGCTAAAAGGGGACCTCAGGAGATGCTTTGATTCAAGGCTGAAAGTATCTCAGGGTCATAGCTTCAGGGACTCCTAGTCTCAACTGGTCCAGTAAGTCTGGACTTTTTATTTTGTTTTATTTTTTTTATTGTACTTCAGGTGAAGGCTTACAGAACAAACAGTTTGTCATGAAACAGAAGTACACATGTTGTTTTATGACATTGGTTAACAACCCCACAACATATCAACCCTCTAACTTCTCAATCTTTTTTTTTTTGGTGAAAATACACATAGCCAAAGATACACCATTTCAAAAATTTCTACATGCACAGTTCAGTGACATTGACTACACTCTTCCAATTGTGCTGGTATTCTCACTTAAGATGAAGGCTTACAGAACAAAATAGTTTCACATTTAACAATTACTACAAATGTTGCCCTATGACAATGGTTAACGATCTCACAACACATCAACAATATCCTTACTCAACCTTGGGTTCCCTATCACCAGCTTCCTTGTCCCCTTCTGCTTTCTGGCCCTTGTCACTGGACTCCTGTACCTCGTTAGTCTCATTTGGTTTTATGGGGCTGTCCACTCCCAGGCAAGTCTGGACTTTTTAAGAATTTGAGGTTCTGTCCTGTATTTTTCTCCCACTCTGTCAGGATCCAGCTATTGTGGCCGTGATCAGAACGGTCAGTAGTGATAGCTGGGCACCATTTAGTTCTTCTGGTCTCAGGGTGGATAAGGCCATGGTTCTTGTAGACTGCTTGTCCTATACACTGGTTTCTTCTCTGAGTCTTTGGTTTCCTTCTCTCTCTCTTGCTTTGGACGAGTAGAGACCAACAGTTGTATCTTCGATGGCCCCTCACAGGCTTTGAAGACACAGATGTAACTCACCAAACTAGGCTGTAGAACATAAACTTTACGAACTGTATTGCGCCAGTTGACTGAGTTGCCCACCAGACTACGGTCCTAATCCTTCAAACGCAGACCAATCCTGAGAGGTGTTTGGTTATGTCTAAGAAGTACACATAACTGTGCCCCCGTGTGCTTTATTGTTCGTTTGGATATATAGGTATGTACACGTATTATACACGTGTATACATGTGTGCACACATACATGTGCTTATGCACACCTGTACACGTATGTACTTACATACACACGTACATAACCACACGTATATCTTTTGGTGGTTGTTGCCGTTGCAAAATTATATACGTCGCAGCATTTACCGGAAGCATCCTTTTTCTTGTGTACTTCTTAGTGACGTCGTGCACCTTGGTCAGGCTGTGTGCACGTCACCACATTCTATGTACACCTTTATTTTATTACGTGGTTCGTGTGGTTTGACCTATGTTTTCAGGGGATGCTCTAAATATTGTGAAATAGTGAGGAGGTGAAGCAACAGTTCACGTGTGTGCTTTAAATTGTTCCAGGTGTGGCCTGAAGTGACCGACCCTGAGAAGTTTGTGTATGAAGACGTGGCCATCGCTGCGTACCTGCTGGTAAGGCTCCATGTGATCTGTGTTTGTGGGGAGCGGCGAGGGCTGCTTCCGGCAGATGCTACAGCATTGACGGTCGCTCATCGAGGCCACAGCTGACGGTCAGTTTGTGGCTGTCATGGGGTTGTCACACACGTGACAGTGTTCCTTTGCATAGTGTTGTTGCCTGAAAATAGAACAAACTTGAGTTGTGAGTAAACCACAAAGTGCTGGCCGGCCTGGTCTGTCAGGCATGGCCCCTGACTTAATAGTCTTGATTTTCTCATCTGTAAAGTGCTTAGGCTAGATGATTTTCAATTTCCTTTCAACTGCAATTCTTCTTAGGACTTTTTAGAAATAGCATTTTTGTTTCTGATTATCAGAGTATCTAGAATTTGAAGAATATAGGCCAGACCCCGAGATGACCCTTTTAATGTGGACTTTGAGCAAAAGAAGAGAGTCTTAGGTGCCCCAGGCAGGCCCGAGGGCTGTCGACACGTGAACCACAGGGTGGAGGCCTGGCTGGCCTGCTTGTCTGTGTGTTCCCTGACAAGCCCAGGCCGTAGCTGGGCCTTGCCGTCTGGTTGGGGATGTGGGATTTGTAATCTCAGTGGCCTGCTTGTTTCTGTGGTCTGTGACGAGCCCAGGCCGTAGATGGGCCTCGCCAGCTGGTTGGGGACGTGGGATTTGTAACCCCAGTGGGATCTATGTCTGAACTTTTCTTGGGTAGAGTGGATTATGAACTGGCCTTTCCTTCCTTCCTTTTTTATTTCTTCTTTCTTTCCTGTTTACTTAGATCCTGTGGGAAGCAGAGCGAGCTGAGCATGGAGTGACCAAGAAGCAGTCCTTCGTGGACCTGGGCTGCGGGAACGGCCTCCTGGTGCACATCCTCCGCCAGGCAGGGGTAATGCTCCACTCGGGCCCCTCCTCCAGCGTGTCTGCAGAGCAGCCCAAGGTCCACTGATGGCCGTTCCCGTTGGTACAGTCTCGGTTCAGAGTCTGCCTGGCCGTCGGAATGGTGACTAGTCAGAAACTCCTGTTTATTGGTGAAACGAGGGAAAAACCAGCGACCTCGTTAGACTCTCACAGCGGTTCCCAGCATGTTCTCGTCTGAGCCTGTAAAATGACAGGCCGTGAGGTGATGGGGTTTGAGGTGGTGAGCCATAAGGTACAGACTGTGACAGGCCGTGAGGTGACAGGCCGTGAGGTGGTGGGCCGTGAGGTACAGACTGACAGGCCGTAAGATGACAGGCCGTGAGGTGGTGGGCCGTGAGGTACAGGCTGTGACAGGCCGTGAGGTGGTGGGCCGTGAGGTGGTGGGCCAGGTACAGACTGTGACAGGCCGTAAGGTGACAGGCCATGAGGTGGTGGGCCGTGAGGTACAGGCTGTGACAGGCTGTAAGGTGACAGGCCGTGAGGTGATGGGCTGTGAGGTACAGACTGTGACAGGCCGTG